AGAATCTTATGTAACTGCATAGACAAAAGAAGAGAGAACCACGGGAAGAGAGTGGAGTGATATATCCATAAGGCAGGGCATATCAAAGATTGCCAGAAAACCACCAGAGGCCAGGAAATAGGCATGGAACAGATTCTCTCTGAGTGCCCAGAAGGAACCAATCCTAACGCTTTGATTTTGGACTAGCCTCTGCTGGTGTGAGACAAAACCACTTCTGTTTTTTTTTTAATAGCACTAATTTTGTGAAATTTTGGTATGGCAGCTCTAGGAAACTAATTCAGAAATGCAGCTGAAAATAGATAATTTCAGAAGTGATCTTAGATAAGACAAGGGAGAAAAACTTCCCTTCTTCCTTTCTGGGTTGTTCGTCTGTTCTAATAATTAAATTGACATAAAATAGATTAACAGGAGGAAAAAAAATCCTTTAAATTTCATACATGTGGGAGCCCCAAAGACATCAGGCTGTCAGGCAGCCAAGGAATTGAGGCTTATATGTCATCCTGAGCTAAGGAGAAGGGGTCGGGGTCGGGGAGGCAAAGGGAAGGAAGACAATTCACAGGAAGATGGGAAGAACAAATATTTGGTAAACAATTATTTGCCATGTCATCATGCAGTAAGTCTTTCTGATGTAAAATGTTATCTCTGGTAATAGTTCCCTTTCTGGTATAGTGTCTCTAAATTCTTGTAGGCATTAAGGAAGAGGTGAAAACAAAGAAACAACCTTCTTCTGAAGTCTTTTGGGCCTTGATTGCTTTGAGCTCAAGATAATCCACACACCACAGTGGCATGTTGTGGGGTCACATATTCTGCTCCCTGTCAGAAGCATACCCTTAGGATGTGATTCTGGAACTACAGGACTTGCAATCTGGGTGGCACAAGGGATCCCCCTGTCGTCGATAACTTAAGGAACTTCCTGCTCACTCTGACATAACAATTGGTAGAACTTTCACCAGTGGCGAGGTGGGAGGGGGTCAGGTGACAGGAGCCATCGGATACGGAGCATTTCAGAGGAAAGGGGGGAATCAGCAATGAAAAGGACTGTACTGGCCATTGCTAAGTGCTACTGTTGTTTTGAAGAAGAAAACTGACAAGGTCGGATGTGTTGATTGCAAACCAGGGGCACCGTGTGCAAGAAATCCACAATTTCTGTCACCAAAAGGCAGATGGAGCTGGTGCTTGGATGAGGCACAGGACAGGGAAAACTCACTCTTCCTCTTGGGTGTCTCTCTTTCCGTCTCACATCAGTACCGTACCCACAACCTCTGACCCCAGATGTGTGAGACGTGGGAGACTTTCCCACACAAACGAATTCTCTTTGACGCTAACTAGATGAAGCACAGTTCAATGCAATTCTGACGCCATCTACCTGGAGACAGCAACAGATCCCACAGACTAAGTGCTCAGCCCCTCAAGACTTCCTTGCCCTCCTTCAGGTGCCAATTGAACATAGTAGGTCCCCAGGTTGCCCACAACTTCTGTCCACTTTGGCTACAAATCAGAGCTTCCCAGAGCCTCCTCCCCATTGGATTTAATCATTTGCTAGATTAGCTCACAGAGCTCAGAGAAAGACATGGTTATGTTTAATAGTTTATTATACAACAAAGGATATAGTAAAGGACACAGATGAATGTTCAGATGGAAGAGATATGGGCAAGGTGTGTGGGGAGGTACCGTCTCTGGTACACCAATCTCCCAGCACCTCTGTGTGTTCACCGACAGGGAAGCTCTCTGAACGCCATACTGGTGGGATTTTTATGGAGGCTTTATCACATCACGATCTATCATAAACTCCATTTCCAGCCTCCCTCCCCTCTCTGGAGAGTGGGAAATGGGGCTGAAAATTCCAAGCTTCTCATCATGGCTGAGTATTTCTGGTGACCAACCCTATCTAGCAGCCCACCAAGAGTCACCTCATTAGAATGAAGATACTGCTATCACCTAGTAAATTCTGAGGGATTTAGGAGCCCTGTGTCAGGAACCGATTTCAAAGAACAAAGATGAGAACCAACAATGCTCCTAGTGCTCTTATCCCTTAGGAAATCAAAGTTTTAGGAGCTCGGTGTCAGGAACCCAGAGCAGAAATCAATTTATATAATAGATTATAGTATTAAGTTATAATTAATTAAATAATATAAAATTATTTTACATATAAATCCATAATATGTATGTTATTTATATATTTACATACATATAAATACATGCTTATATATTATTATGTAACATATTGTAAATACATATTATATATAAATATATAAATAATAATGAAATATATGCATCTTAACATAAATTATTTTTATATATAAATATTTATCAATACATAAAATATACTTTTTATTTTCTATTTTCTATTACTTCTATTAATAGAAAATAATATTATTTTCTATTTTAATATTGTAAAAATATAAGTATAATGAACATGGATTCACAGCCTTGGCAAGTCTTTAATGCTAAAAACAAAACCCTGATAGGAAAGACGTGTGGCCTCACTGGATGGAGACATCCGAATGGATGTACTCCAGGGCAGGGGACCCCCAGATCCCCCTAAATCTCTGGGCCTGTAGGTAGGGCTACTTTGTTTTGCTGAAGAGTAGCAACCTCCTCTTGCCTGAAGACCATGCCAAAATATCAACTGAGATGGATGCCTTGGAAGATGATAATTGCTCTCTTCAAATCCGACCCCCTACCTCCCCTGTTCTACAACTAGGATCATGTCTGAGCAGGGGCCAGCTGGGGAAACGCTTTCTTGCTGGAGGAAAAAAAGGAATTATTCACCAAAGGAATTTCAGTACGTGATTTACTGTAGCAAAAGAAATTATGGGTTGGGAGAGCATGCCAGGAAGTGGATCTTGATAGTATCAGACTGGGGCAGGGGCTGGCGGTGGTGAAAAATAAGCTCAATAAAGGACAATTGGCCAGTAAGAGAGCATTCTCCCATGACCGATGAGAGCACTTGGAATGGTCCTAATATACTGCTGGGTTGATTACTAGAAGCTTGTGGGGGGGACTCATTAAATTAAGTGCAAATGACAGAACTTCCCTGGCCGAGTTTTGAGGACAGGATCAAAAGGCTCAGAGGATGAATATGCTAGAATGGCTCTATTATATAACCCTTGAGAGCACACCAACTGGCTGAGTTCTTTGGAACCCGAAGAATGATCTTGAAAGGGTCAGAGAAATGCTGTCAGCACTAAGCTCATAAGGAATATGCTAGTGATGGGGTACTGGCATGTTTGAGCAGCTCAGCAAAGTTAATGACAGACAGTATTGTTAGAGGATTGTTGTCCGTGGGCATGATAGGATTCAGAATAGCAGAGGCAATACTACACCCATAGGGATCTATGATGATGGCTAATATACCAAGGAATTTCTAAAGGAACACGAAATGGAACACCAACAAGAGCATGGTTTGATAAACATAACAAAAAGTTATTAAAGTTGAATGAGCAGAAGCCTGATATCATTACTGCCCATGGAACATCACTTCTTCATTCAGTTTACAAACCTGAGTTAGTCCATATACCCACAGAAGGTTCCAACAAAGCCACAGGTATATACCGCATATATTTCTGTAACATAATTTTACATATTTTGTATATAATTTGAAATTACAATCCGCAAGTCCTCTATGAACATTCTAGTTTCTCTATATTAGCTAGTGACACTTCCCATCTCTGGAATACCCTTTTGCATCTTCTTTGTGAGTGCTACTCTGTTTTAAGTCTTCAGTACACCTTTTCCAATGGCCCCCATCTCTTGGTCATCACCTCTCTCTCTAAGGAGCAATCTTGTTCATTAAACATTTACTATTCGTGGGGCTCAGTCGGTTAAGCATCTGACTTTGGATCAGGTCATGATCTCACGGTGGGTTCGAGCCCCGCATTGGGCTCTGTGCTGACAGCTAGCTCAGAGCCTGGAGCCTGTTTCAGATTCTGTGTCTCCCTCTCTCTCTGACCCTCCGCTGCTCGCTGTGTCTTTCTCTGTTTCTCAAAAATAAATTAAAAAAAAAGAAAAACTTTTACTATTCAGGCTTAGCTAATTGTTGAAATTTTTATATATGAAGAAAAGTCCATTTTTCCAACCTGATTCTTAGATCCTTGCAAACAGGGTTAATCTTACACGCCAGAACTTATTACAATGATCTATGTGTAACAAAATATTATTTACAATTTTCCATTCAGCATTTTAATTTCTTCCATTCTTTGAACTAGGAACGGACCTGTTTAACACTGCCTATAAACATTCAATTACGCCCATACATCTATCTTAGATTCTTAACTGGAAAAATTACTTGAAGTCCTTGAAATAAACCTGGTAGGCGTACTTAACATGGACTGATTAACTTGTATATACATACATGTAGATTAAATTTAGGGCTGTTTATTTTTTAGGCTGGAATTATAAGCTTTCAACATCGGATGAGTCAAAGGAAAATTAATAGCCGCTATAGAAGAGATAACACAGTATTACAATTCAGGCCCTTTTGTATCTCTATCATCTATTTATTCATAATGACTAAAACTCCACGATACCTATTATAGAATCATTCCATAAATTATCATGCCAAACTGGGAAATGTGACTAGCTGTTTCCTAATTGCTAAAAATCATCAAAGTGCCTTGGTCTAGAGAGACTTGAGGATGTTGGGATCACCCTCTTTGGTATCAAAATGCAGTACAGAATTTTAGAGTTTAAGATTCTAGGGTAGTGGTGAAGAAAAAGAACAAAACACAGATGGGGCAGAATAGAATATCTATCTATCTATACACATACATGAACGCATATATTTGCAGCTTATAAAATCTTCTTTATATATGATAAGTCACATAGGAAAATAATTTATTTTACATATTTTACATATGGTGTTAGCAAAAAAAAAAAAGGCTTAATTTTTTTGAGTATTTTTTTTCAAGGTAGTACCATCCCACCATACATCACAAACCTAAAAGAGATTATTTACAGGATGATATAATCTCTTCAATGATATACTTATCCTCCTCTTCCTGATTAAAATCAGACATCTCTCCACTTCTCCGGGGCCCCTACTTCCTGTTTTCTTTAGCATGTGCTAGTCACTGTGAGGGCTTCTGTGAACGGCTCTCACTTAACTCTTCTGTTGTTCTGAAATGGGATAGTTGGTTAAACTATGAAGCCCATATTTCTAAATTTCCAGTTCACGTAATTGATGCTTTGTATCTTTATCTCCTTTTGAGTCCTAAGGACATTACAGCAACCGCACAAAGATCATGGCATGTCTACTTTACCAAACATCTGCTTTGGATTCTCGAAGTTCTATAGTATAATTATTCCTATAGCAGCCCACACAGGAGGTGCCTTCACAGCACACGGACTCAAATGGAAAACATCCTGTGACAGGTTTGGAGCTCAGCTACAGAGCTCATATTCCCTTCAGTTTCCAGAGTTAAACACCACATCTGCAGAAGCCCTGACTGTGGTTATTGCTGCAGCATCAGTGATTTTCCCTACCATGCTTCCTCTTCAGTACCTTTCATAGAATCACTTTCGGTACCCCTCTCATTCCTGTCCTATGACACATAGTCTTCTGATAATATTTTGCTTGTTCTGAATGACCACTCATAATCACAACTGGGAGAAGGAATAATAAATAATCTGTTTATTTTCTTTCAGCTTCTTAACATCTTGTCTACTGTGTTCTCCTTAAGGGCCAAACTCTTAGAGAAATGGAACCGTGTGTCGTTAAGAACAGAAAGAAGCTCAGAGAATATCAAAGAAGTACAAAAAATGAATGCACTCCCCCCAAGTAACTTCATTTTCACTCTAAGAAAATGCAAAATGGTAAAATAACCATTCCCAGATGAAAACCTAAACTTGTCGTGTTTTAATACTACATAAATTATTTTCCTTAATATGTTCTAACTAGGGACCGGTTTTATTCTTATTTTTACAATCTAGTCTTTAGTTCATTTGATGTGAGGAAATGAAAATTGATCTTCATCAAGAAATGTCTACGTACCAGATACGAAGCTAAACTTTCTACACAGATGTTTCTCCTAGAATCCACTAAAAACTGCATGGAATACTAACTGCTATGGATATTTTACAGATGGGTAATTGAGGCACAGAGAGATTTTAAAACTTGCTAAAATTTACAAAGCTAGTAAGTAACAAATCACATTTGTTGTCCAGCAATTGGATTCCAGAATCTCTGCTGTTAGCTCTTACGTTATTTTGTTCCTCATCATAGTTAAAATGTGTATCATCACTTTTCCACTTGCATGGCTACAAAAAATAAGTGATACCATCTCTGTTTCATAGACGAAGTAAATGATGTGAAGTCACTTGCCTAAGGACCTCTATAGTACATGGCTACACAAAAAGAAAAACAGTGTATGTGGGGTGGGCCAGAAAATATTATTAGATAGTTTTTCCTCCCCTGGTATAATTGATTTTTTCATAAGCTTTGAAGCTCACTTAACACTAAGATTGTATTCAAATTCAAATTCTACTTCTGAAAGAAAGGACCTTGTTCCTGGGTTGCTAATGGCATAGTTTTTCAAAGAACGGCCTTTAGGGAACCATTGCCCAGAGTTTAAATTCTGATTCTTCCTCTTAGGGACTCTGAGATTTTCAGCAAGTAATTTAAACAACTTGAGGCTTCCTGCAAGGTAAGGGAAATAATGGTCTCCCGTTTGCAGACTGTTAAGAGAATCACGTCCAGTAATATATGTTACACACGTTTTGTATAGTGCTAGACAGTGCGTATGTGAACATTAAATGTTATTTTTTACCTTTTATACTTAAGATGGGTGTGAAGCAAGATTGAAGTACAGAAAATATGAAAGCGATTTTGAGTGGAAAACAGGATTTCTCTGTGGAAGATGTTTAGGTTCAACATAAGAAGCGTGAGAAATCAGGAGTGGGGGCGGGGTTTCAGTCAGGTGAGGGTCTGATTCTTGATGTTGGCTCAGGTCATGATCTTGTGGTTTTTGAGATGGAGCCCTGCGTTGGGCTCTGTGCTGACAGTGCAGAGCCTGCTTGGGATTCTTTCTCTCCCTCTCTCTCTCTCTGCCACTCCCATACTCTCTCAAGTAAATAAATAAACTTAAAAAAATAAGAGGTCTGGGAAGTAAGAGAAATAGGTATGATTGGAAGCAGTTTAATTCATTTTAGCTTTAAACTCTTATTTATTTATTTATTTATTTATTTATTTATTTATTTATTTGACTAAACTCTACTCCCAGCATGGGGCTTGAACTCACAATCCCAAGATCAAGAGTCTCATGCCGTATCAACTGAGCCAACCATCACTCCCTAATTAATTTTAGCTTTAAATCTTCACCTAAGCCCATTGCTTTATTCTGTAGCTTATAGAGGTACTTTGTAATGACGGAGTCTGTAAAACTGGATTATGCTCTCTGTTTTTGTTTGATTCTTTGTGCTTTCGTTGCTACGTACGGTTTTTACCCAACATTTTAAGTTATAGTTTAAATAAAAAATAATTTAATAAAAACACTTCATAACTCGATGTTTCATTACATACTGGTAGTGTTCAGGTAAATTAGTTACTAAAGAGGAGGGTTTTTTTGGGTCCAGACCCATAACCAAAATAGTAAAGGAACAGAATAGCCTTTACCCTTACAACTCTATTGATAATAAATAGGATTCATGTAATGCCCCTTAGGAATCAGCCACCCTGATGAACATTTGTGATTTGCACTGTACACCCTACAGTGAATGAAGATATTTCCTTCCTAATCATCTTATTAATGACTCTATTTGGGACTCTGGCCAACAAATGGCATAGGGTTGCACTTTGTGTGTGAGGGAGTTTGGCCTTGGCTGACTGTTACGGCCCTCCCTGACAGGCCAGTTCAGCAAGCCCCAACATTCGTATTCACTCACTAAAACAGCTTTCTGTGTTCCTGACACCGGAGGAAGCCATCTATAATCCAGATACTTTTGAAAAGTACTTGTAGACGGCTACTCCCTATATTTCTATGTATGCCCTTCCATTTGCTCAGAGACAAGTTATGCCATTCTAACACCAATCATGGGTCATGTGAAAGGGGACAGGGTATTTCTGGAACATTTCTCAATCGCATTGTTTCTCTGAAAGTGTGCTGAGTGAGTGACCGCACTCTTAGGATAAATAACTCTACGAAGAATGCATCAGAAGTTTCCAAATCTCCTCTCATTTGAAAGTGATAAACACACGATAGATTGGTTTTGTTTTTTTCTTCCCTACATTTATTTCCTTAAGAAGAAATACATGGTTTTCTAAAGTTTGTTTCTTACAAGTCATTCCTATATTTTAATTGCAGGATCTATAGAAATTCTAAATTTTTTTTGGCATCATCATCTTAGTGATTTTTAAAAAAATCTAATATCAGTAGCATAAGAATGATGAAAATTAAATAATTTATTTTTTGCTCTTTAACAACTAGAAGGGTCTTTAAGATGGAATTTTTAACATTTCTGCCAAATTATGTCATTTGTGTCATCAATGCAGGCAAAGTATTTCACATCATAACAATTTCTAAATTTCTTGAAAAATGAATAAAACATGAAATCCAATTAATAGTATCATCAGTAATTGAAATACATCTCAGATACAGAGTGTCAGACTATTTATAAGTTCACTGAACTAGAGATTGGAGTTGACCATGACATCTATCTATTTGTCTTAGTTCACGCTTTGGTATTTTTCTGGTAGGTTTTTTTGAAGTTGGAATATGGCACTTTACATTTGCTGTAATCAATAGAGCTTAAATTCTTGGAAATTTCACTGTAGTTATAACTAATTTGAAACCAAAACCACAAAGAAAGTTGTCTGGAGAGTCAGCTCATTTATTTGTTTCTGAAAAGCTCTAAGAAAATTGGAAACTAACCATTTATTTATAGTCAATGACTTTATTGAATAGAAGCAAAAAAAAATAATGAAAGAAGATTTCAACACAGGGACAGAAGAGTAAGAAGTAATTCAGAGATGTAAGAATTTCAAAGACTTAGTCAAAGAAAATTATGAAAAACAGCAGAGTTCAAGAACAATAAATCCACGGTAAAGATCTCAGATGGACAAAAGCTAAGCACTCACAATGCTTTTGCACTGCATTCCCTTTATTACAAAGACAATGAATAAATCAAACTGTTTCCGTATTTCATCACCTTGCTTTGTTTCAACTGTCAGTTATGAAAAATTACTGAGAAGACACAATTTCAAAAAGAAAGAAAACTGAATACTATGAACACACCATGAGTAGTAACTTCAGGAGAGCTGGTTTTTCTGGCATCAGACCGGAAATGAAACAATGATGTAGCAGCTGGAACCTAAGTGTCTTATTGAGTTTTCCACACCCTCCCCAAAGAGGGAAACCAAGTGGATGCCTGTGGTTGTATGGACTCTGGGAATGGGGACTCAGATACAAGAGTTTACTAAGTGACTTTTCAGCATTAAATGGTAGCTGTATACGGTTCCATCGTCATTCAAGTCCTCATATTCCGATCTCACTTTTGGATTTTATTGTCAGTCTATAAGTTTGCTTCTTATAATGGTTTATCAGCCTATTAATTAGAATTTTAGATAATTTTATGCCTCCAAATGTCTAAGCTAAGGTAGGCGCCATGGTCTGCACTCAACGAAAATAAAAGATCAAAATTCAAGTCCTGACTCCTCGGTTCACTGATCACTGACGTTAGCTAGATAAATCTCAATGTCCTTCAGTTTTGAAATATGTACAATGATAATATCACCTCCTTTACTTTTCCACAGCATAACTGTGAGGATGGAATAAATATATGTAAAAAAGCTTTGTAATTGCTGAAGTATTAAACCAACAGGGAGTTGTACCCCGACAGATGTAGTAGGAAGGATTTTGCCTCTATTTCTTTGATTTAAAAAATATTTATATATTTGAGAGGAAAATGCTAGGCACTTTTTCCTTTTTAAAAAATTTTTACTTAAATTCTAGTTAGTAAACATACACTGTAATAATAGTTTCAGGAATAGAATTTAGTGATTCATCACTTACATATAATGCCCAGTGCTCATCGCAAATGTCCTCCTCGACACCTATCACCTATTTAGTCCCCCCCCACATCAACCCTCTGTTCTCTGTAGTTAAGACTTTCTTATGGTTTGCTTCCCTCTCTTTTTTTTCCCTTCCCCTACGTTCATCTGTTTTGTTTCTTAAATTCCACATATGCGTGAAATCATATGGCATTTGTGTTTCTATGACTGACTTATTTTGGTTAGCATAATACACTCCAGCTCCAACCATGTCATTGCAAATGGGAAGATTTCATTCTTTTTGGTGGCTGAGTAACATTTCTAGGCACTTTTTAATATCCTTGCTCTTAGGGTGGTTTTGCCCCAGTTCAAGAATCAGGCAGTCAACAAAAGATAAAATTCCATAAAATCAATGATACACTTAATTGGCACTGTGAGATAATTCTTGGCATGAAGACAACTTTACCATCTACACTCAAAAATAAGTGCACAGACAAATTTACATATAAATATATATACATATATATTCCATTGAATAAAGTAGTTGGAAGCACTGTTTGAGATGTCTCATAAATGTGGCAAATTATCAATAAATAACTGTTCCCAGTTTTAGTAAGTACAGTTATAATGTGTTTCCTAAATAAAATGGCCTTAAATTGAATAGTAACCATGATTATATCTATCTTTCTGAATCACCATTTTGCCTTATTATTCTTGGAAAAATCTATATGGTATTGTTCAACTAAATGCCAATGAAGCTTCTATGCAGAAGTCAGAATAAAATAAAAACCCAATGGGATAACTCTGGTCCCTTTGATGCAGGTCCAATAGCTGAGTCCACTACCCCAATGTGTTCAAACTTTTCTGAATGCAATGCTTTCAATTATTATTTGGTCCAAAATAATAAGAAAATACAAGTTACTACTATCTAGGAACCCTGACATTGAATAAAATGTTACACACACACACACACACACACACACACACACACACACACACCTCTACTGCAGAAAAACAGAACTCACAGTTTTCCAACTTCAATGATCAAGCCTTGTTATAGGAGGTTAAAACATTTCCACTACAGCAGCATCGCTCACTCAATGTAAGAACCTTGAAGAATTGAGAGCTGCTTATTTTTTAAAGTTACCAGAGACAGACACGGGGCTGCTAATATCTTTGTCTACCCTTTTTGGTTTTAATTTGCCCATTTGAGGAAAGTTCAAGCATGCCTCTGAGATCTCAGTACATGCCAAGTGTACACTAAAGGGTGGAATCTATTGAGTTTCAGTCTTAAACCGCAAGGAGTCAGCTAGTCAACCGTATAAATTAACACAATCACGTCCCATTACTTGCCACCCGCCTACCTGGGCAAATGCTCAGCAAAGTTTTATGTTTCCGAGTTTCAGAGTCATGGATAGATAAAAGTCCTTGATTGATTTCAGATGTCCTTTATATCACCAGGAGCCCAGAGCATTAAAGAAACAAAGGAAGTTAATTCAGGTTTACCGCAGTAGATTAAATTTCCTCCTTACTCATTCAATTTCAAGTTGCTCTGCACTAGTCTCATGTAAAATTTTTATTTACTCATGAACTTACCCAAGTCAGGCAGGTATTAACAGTGCTTCTTTGATCTTTTATTTTCTTTGTTAGCTTCAGCCTTAGTGTGTTCTTCTCCACCCTCCCCTACCTCCCAGTCCTGTTTTGGTTTTTATTTATACCTAAATATTTATTTTTCTTTATAGTGAGGTCATTCTAAATCCCAATCTGATCATTACAAATCATGCTAGTTAACAACAGGTCTACAAAGGGTTGTTAGACAAGGAAGCCATTCTTCATTATTGTCATCAGATCATTAATTAATAGGGAAGGATTTCATGTGAAGGTGAAGAAAGGGAGACAGATGTGAGAATACAGAACTGAAACTAGAATTGATTTCAAGAGATCAGTTTTCCGTATCTGTTGTTCAGTCACAGAACTTGCATTGTATTATGTCACAGTCAGTATTGGCTCACTTTTAACCTATAAAAGCCCTCCCCGGAGATTTCCACTGAGCTGCTGTAAGAGAATATTACAGGCTTCCCAAACATGGAGAGTAAGCCAGCTTGTCCAGTCTGATTACTTATTATTAATTCTTTGGACAAATTAGCTCATTCTGATACAGAGGTAGCTCATTGTTCATTACTCCTTTAAGAAGTATTTATTAAGAGCCTACTATGTGCTAGACACTGCTAGGAAATGAAATGAAGAAATAAATCAGGGAACCTACAGTCTGTTGGGGGACATCGATATCAAACATGTAATTACATAGATAATCACACAAATAACTATATTCATACCAAATTCATGAAAACGTTCGGCACAATCTTCTTAAGTCATAATTAAAGTTTTCTATTTTTCTTCTTCTAATTCTAAATGAGAATGTGTTTTTCTTCAGAAATGATAGTGAGGAAAAGAATTTCTTCCTGAAACTTCAAAATAAGCTTTCATTGGAAGAATAGGAACAGAACCAAAACAACAGGCTTTTAATGAAGTAGGGAGGTTGCTTAAATGGCCAGTTAGAAGTAGGAATAATTTTGGGGTGCTTGGGGAGCTCAGTTGCTTCAACATCCAACTCTTGATTTCAGCTCAGGCTCTGATCACACAGTTCATGAGATCGAGCCCTGGGTCGGGTTCTGTGCTGACAGTGTGGAGCCTGCTTGAGATTCTCTGTCTCCCTCTCTCTCTGCCCCTCCCTTGTTTGTGCACATTCTCTCTCTCTCTCTCTCTCTCTCAAAATAAATAAATAAACTTAAAAAAAAGAAATAGGGATGACTTCATTATTTCAAAGTATATTTTATACACACACACACACACACACACATATATTCTAGGCATTGATGGAATATGTATAATATATATACACATACCCATACCTATTTTCTTCTACAGACTTCTACCTGAAACCATAATTTTCCTTTATAATAATGAAATTATCATCTATGAATGTATGTGAAAGAGGATCACTAATTTGGGAATCAAAAAAATAACATGAAAAGATCAACAATTGGAAGAAAAAACAAAATTTTAAAATAAGGGATGTTGTTTACTAATCTCACAGTGCCAATCTTCATAAAAAGATTACTGCCTTTTTTTTTTTAAGTTTATTTCTTTTGAGAAAGAGAGAGCACGAACAGGAGAAGAGTAGAGAGAGAGGAAGAGAGAGAATTCCAACAGGCTACACACTGTCAATGCAGAGCCCAACGTAGGGCTCGAACCATGAACTGCGAAATCATGACCTGAGCCTAAATCAAGAGTCGTATGCTGAACTGACTGAACCACAAAGATGCCCTCATTTCACTTTCTTTCTTTTTTAAAATTATTTTTAATGTTTATTAATTTATGAAAGAGGAGACAGAGCTTGAGTGGGGAGTCAGGGAAGGATGGAGACATAGAATCCAAAGCAAGTTCCAAGCTCTGAGCTGTCAACACAGAGACCAACGTGGGGCTTAAACTCATGAACTGTGAGATCATGACCTGATCTGAATGAAGTTGGACACTTAACCACCCAGATGCCCCTATTGCTTTCTTTTTAATGGAACAATATTTTTCTGTTTTCTGAAAACAAAATAAGTCTTTTGTTAGGTTTAGTTTTTCTTTTAAAGGAAATATAACTGCAATATTGCACATGAAGCTTCCAAGGCTTTGGGAAAGTGTTTTCTAGTTTCCTGAACCTGGATCAAACCTTCTTCTGGAGCTATCAATGAAATATACATTGCTTAGATTTAAAACTACAAAATGATTGAATCAGTACTTTTGGTAAATACACTATTTTTTAAGATTTTATTTTTAAGTAATCTCTATACTAACATGGGCTCAAATTTACAACCCTGAGATCATGTGTCACATGCTCTGCTGACTGAGCCAGCCAGGCACCCCTGGTAAATGCACTACTGACTGAAGTGTGAAGTCTAAGAACTCATTTGAGCATAATTCCCAGATTCCATATGAAAAATGATGCTTTTACTAAGTATAAAATGATGAACATCCCGAAGTATTCTATCTCTCTATTATCAGGATGGATTTTTCTAGAATTTGGGGGTACATTGTAAACTTTAATTGAAACTTCTCATCACCTCTGACTACAAATGGCCCACTAAGCTAAGCAGTAAATTGGTAGAGACTGAGGGCACTGCAAACCAGCCATGAAATTGTATCAAATTTGGTTCCTTTGAGGACACTACACCTGAATGTATATCTAATGGAAGGTCATGAAAATTCAGTTCTAACCTTCTTTTTATCTGTCTCTACCTATAAAATAAAGCATACCTATTTAATCAATCTCTAACTCAAAGGTTATGCTATGTTGGATTGAGCTGAGCTACAAATGTGCAGGGCAGTCAAGCATGGAAAAATGAGAGAATTATGTAATGAGACTCTGCAAATAGTGCTATAGTATAAAATGAGAATAAATGTGATCAGAGTAACAAAAATGAAGGAACAACAAAATGATCATGTCAGTGGTCGTGGACCAATGTGCCCCATCTTCATGGTATTTCACTAAGCTAAAGAATAAAGGAAATGAAATTCTATGACAATGGTAAAAAGAAAAAAAAGGCCTCAGGTATGCAAGCTTTCAAATTTTGTCATGTTATAGCTGTTGTGACAAGAATCACTTTCACAAAAACACCAAATACAGAACCATTAAACCAATTAACCTTGATGCTTGAATGATAATGAGATACATTTATACTGCAAGTGGTATTTGATATATTTCAGATTAAGTCAGTACTAAAGGAAGAATGCATTCTGAGCCTATTGTTATGTGATGGGAGTAAGGTACAAGAAGTGTACATATTTTAAAATTCCCTATTATCCACAAGTCATTGTGTAGACTATAGAAGACTTTTTGTCAGCGAAACTACTGCAGTCAAATTTAGACTGCAGCTTAAGGATTTTAAACCTTTCCAGACAAGAAAAGGAGGTGCTGAGGAATACTGTGGACATTTGTTATTTTGCCTAAGAGGCGTTCCTCCTGATGGCTGAGACTAACTCTATCTTCATTTGGGTCAAACCAACCAACAAGCGCTAGTAAGATCTTCCAATCACAGTGTATCAACTGTCAGTCCACAGTGGACAATTTTATGGAAAGGCCTCTTATCCAAGCTAGGCCAATCACAACACTTTTCCCAGGACTTTTCTTCCTAAACAGAAGGAACAATGCTTCTCTGGCAGAGAAGCATCAAGTAGTGTGAAGGACAGGAATGTTGGCCGTCAAGTTTCCTTTCCTTAGAAGAGAAACCACTCTACTTAGTGTAGAGATAAGATAAAGAGAAAGAAACCTCTAAAAGCGTTCAGATTCCTAATTCTAAGAGTCTGAGAGCCAGACCTGTGGTTGAGTTGCAAAGACACCCTAAGTATCTTCCTTGTACGTACGCTTCTCTTTCTGACTAAATTTGTTGGAGTTCAGCTTCTGCACTAGCAATCCTAAATAATCCCCAAATATATGTCAACAATGTTATTTATATTAAGAAGCTGTTATATATTAAGAGGTTATTTTAATAGCAAGGTTAGGGGCACCTGGGTGGCTCAGCCGGTTAAGCGTCCCGCTTCAGCTCAGGTCATGATCTCACAGTTTGTGGGTTCGAGCCCCGCGTCAGGCTCTGTGCTGACAACCAGCTCTGAGCCTGGAGCTTGTTTCAGATTCAGTATCTCCTTATCTCTCTGAACTTGCCCTGTTCACACTGCCTCTCTCTCTCTCTCTCTCAGAAATAAATTTTAAAAAATTTAAGAAAATAACAAGGTTAATTAAATAGTATAATGATACGAGCTAGTTGGAAAGCTTCCCTTGCTTCTAATGCTACTTGCCGCAGGTGAGTTGCTGAGAATCCTCCCTAGTAAAGCCTATGTGGCTCACTAAGAAGAGCTCAGTAAGTGTTACTAATTACTTATTACTATCTATCTGGCTCTTTACATAGCATTTCAACAGTCTGGTCTCTTGGCCTTTTACTATTGACAGCTACGTCAGTTGGCTTTAGTTGATTTGTCTTCCAATCTTCCTCTTATATTGCCCCTGCTTTAATTGGCCCATGTAGGACAAGCTCTTCCTCCTGAATCTGACTTTCACTCTTGGGCATAATGCTAATAATGGCTTTTTCACTGGGGCACATGGGTGGCTCCATCAGGTTAAGCGTCTGACTTCAGCTCAGGTCATGATCTCGCAGTTCATGGGTTCGACTCTGTGCTGACAGTTCAGAGCCTGGAGCCTGCTTCGGATTCTATGACTCCCTTTCTCTCTGCTCCTCCCCTGTTTGTGCTCTGTCTCCCTCTCTCTCTCAAAAATAAACATTAAAAAATAAACTAATGGCTTTCTCAAGGTCTCCTTTGCTCACAACGTTTTTGTGATTGACTTTATGGAAGGGTAGATGTGATTTCTTCACAGCATGTCCACAAGGGGCAGACGATCGGATTTTGATGCCTTCCAAGGGCTAACTATTATTGCCTTATGTTATCAATCTTCTCTCTTTCTTTAAATGGAAGATATTCTCTATGCGTGTAAGAGTATGACCTAAGCCATCAGGCAATCTTCCATTTATGATCTGTGGCTGCAATCGCCTCATGAGGCAAAAGTGCAATTTCAAAATCTGGACTATTTAAGAGTAAACTATTTGGAAATTCCATAGGGAGAGGAACAGTAGACTTCCTTTCCAGAATAGATTGTCTAGGGGCGCCTGGGTGGC